TCTAAAGTACTCGGGTTCGAATCCTACCAATGACAATTCTCTTAATAAATTAATAAACTTCTAAAAAATATAATATAAAGATAGAGAAGACTTCTACATAAATAAAAGGGGTAAAAGAGTTGTAAATAAATAAAAATTATTAATTTAAAAAATCATACTTTCAACGTCGATTCAACAACCGACGTTGAAAGCTTTATTTGTAGTAGTGTCCTAACCCTAGTGATAATTTTTATCTATTTATCCACCTTAGATATCAGCCTTTCTAATTCGGTTATTATTCCATACAAAGACTTCCCAATAATGGACACAATTTTAGGCAGGATTTCTAACATCACACCTTTGATAGAGATTCTTGGCACATGACCAACCCCTAAGATTAATTACTTAATGAATTATTTGGATACCACCATTTCCATGCTAAGAGTTACGTTATAAATTTTGTTGATGTTAAGTAACCGTGCATTATTCCTTTTCAAAGATGGATTTGATGTTTCCCACATTGTAAGGTATATAGTGATGAAAAGTGAAATAGATTTATCTTTCTAAATAATATTTATGTTTATTATATGTATAATTTATATGATAAATCATAATTTGTTTTGATATTTTTTTTAATATTAGTTATAATATTCAAATATTATCACAAGTCAAATGACTTAAATAATAATTGATTCACATATTTTGAGACAGATGTATTAAAAAAAATTAACAGATATTCGATACTTACTTAAATATTATCTTATAAAAAAGTTTGATATGTATTTTCATTTTACAATTTATAAATGTTAAAATAAACTTAATTTAATGGACCATTGAAAAATTTAAAAACTAAGTTAGATTAGGTAAAAAAATTTATAACAAATGAAATCAAACCTATTTTATCTTGATTTATTTAGACCAATTTAATTTATAAGTTCATGGGGAGAATAATAAAATATTTTTTAAATAAAAATAAAAGTAATATTATTTTATTAATATATATATTATAAATTAATTTGATAAATAATTTACTTATTCTCATAATCATTTATTTCAACATATAACGACTAAAATTATTTATTATTTTATATTAATAAATTAGAAAAAACTAAACGATGATAACAATAAATAAGTTTTAAATTATTATTTTAGAATTAAATAAAGTCATTATCTTATAATTTATATATTAAATTATTGTATCTTAAATAAAATTTAATTTTATTAATATAAGTTAAGTTTTAAAATATATTTTAATTTTTATTTAAATATTTTTAATTAATTATTTTAATATAAACACACTAATATTTTTTTTTAATTTTTAATTGAATAAAAATTGATTTATTAACCTATTTGACCAATATATAACCACTAAAAAATATATTTTGTTTTAAAATATAAATTATATTATATTATCAAATGTTTTATTTATTCCAGTAAACCATACCAAACTGAGTTAGACTAACAACTTAGATTCAAATATTTTTCTCATATTTTATATTTATATTTATTTACTGACTTAATATAAAAAAATTATAAATAGTCCCCTTCTTTAATATACCTTCAAATAATTCGAAGGACATAAGACAAATGTCATTTAATCTCATAATCTCGTTAAAATATTAATTATCTTAATTATTTTAAAAAAAATTGTTTCCATGTGAATTCTATATATTTTTCTGTATGTTAGAAGTCAAATTTGACTTATAATATTCAAATAATTGGGTTAATTATTGAAAAGTGAGATATCAAAATTAATGAAATTACTTTAATTCTTCATTTAAAATAAAATTTATTTTACAAGTATAACTTAATATAATTATACATAATTTAGAATTTTAAGCATATAAATATGATTTATTATTTTGGCTATTCTTTATTTATTTTTTATTTTACCTTTTTCAATTTTAATTACTAGGTTTTATCTTTTGTAAATTATAAAATATCAACCTAACATGTTTATAAGAATAATATTGGTACGAATAATATTTTTGAAAATATTATTCATGATATAATTATGTTCATTCAAGTATTACTAATTATAAAATACTAAATACTAATGATATGTTATTAGACTTTAAAAGAACCCAAATATTTCACATTATGGTTTATTTCTTTTTTATTGTTTTAATTTAGAGTGATTAATTGTTTTTAATTTCTAAATGGATAGCATTTGAATAAAAAATGATTTCTCCAGTCCACAAGTTAATTAAGCTTATGCACAAGTTAAACATCAAAAAAATAAATTTGGATAAACTATATACAAGCTTCTACACATTAACTTGTGTTTATGCTAATTTCAACTCATAAACTATTTTTAAAAATTGGATAAACTATACAAGCTTCTACACATTAACTTGTATTTATGCTAATTTCAATTCATAAACTATTTTCATTTTTTTTATATTTTTCTCTCTTGAAAAATATTATACAAGAATTTGTGCAAACATGTTCTATGTAATTTCACTTTTGCTTGCAATGCAATTGTGGTTGCCATCTTTGGAGTGATCCTAAAATATTTGGGATGAATATTGAAATTTCATTTGAAGTCACTTTTATTTTAAAATTATTTTTTATAATAACATCGAATCTTAAATTTTTTATGCTAGACCACCATAAGATTCATATCCCTATAATGAGCTAGACCACCATGAAAATATTAACACAGTATTTGGATTGGGCAAAGAGTCCATAGTTGAAGATAAAGTTATGCTAATATGATCACAAAAGCAAATATTGATTGTTTTATAAAATTTATAATAAGTTCAACTTACATGTTATCATATAAATAATTTTGTTGTTCGTCACTTTATTTTGGTAAGAGAATCTAATCTATTAACAAAAATATAAGTAAAGTCGTTTCCCCCACGAATTTGTATAATATTTGGATATTTGAGTATAATTTCTAAAATTGGAAAAGTAAAGAAAAAAATAAATGAGAAAAATGTAAAAATATAATTTTAGAAATTAAATTAAATAGTTGGCATGTATGATAAAATAAAAGTGTAAATGAAAAAAAATAATAATTTGGAGTTTAACTTCCTAATATTTAATCATTATTCACCCCTGTTAAATCAATATTATATTTTCATCAACCCACAAATTTATCCAAGTTTTAATACTTTTAAGAAAGTAATCTTAGTCTCTAAATTTTCCTATAATTTTCTTGAGTTAGTGTAACTACGATAATTGTATTAAGAAAAAATAGTTTTAATGATGATGGATACTCTTTACCTACCCTTGACATAAAAATAATTAGTAGTCTTCTCAGGATTGTAACATAAAAAAAAATAAAAATCAATTAAACCATAATAAAAGAAACATTAACTAATCAAAACAATACAAATATTTAAATAAAAAAAATATAATTACATAAAAGTCGATCTAATGTTACTAAACCATAATAAAATAAACCTAATCAAAATATGAACGAATAATCAATGAATATTACTTACTATCCCTTTAAAAAAAGACTTAATAAAAAAACTTTTATATGCAAACTGTTATAATCTAACATTTAATTACTGTCTAGTTACGAGTAATTTTAATCATATATAATTCAAAAAATTTCAAAAATAACAATAGAAAATATTAATATAAATTGGTTCGAAACCGACATTTGTTGATATTTACTTAACTTGGATTTTAGACAAATTTTACACTAATTCCAAAATAATCAAATCTTTATATTGAACTATCTGAACACCTAATCAATTAATCAAATTAATTTCATTGCGTCAAGTAAATGAAAAGAATGAATAGTAAATTAATCAATAACAAAGAAACTTACATTATTTTTTATAACATATCTTATTTTAATTATACTTTTTATTATAAGAATTAAACTCAAGAATTTATTCAAGGAACTTAATCTAAGTAATCATTTAGATCCATGATTTGTTGATTATTTATAAATTTTTATAGCATGAACTATTGTTTAATTAAAATATTTTAATACTATATAAATTCAGAACTAGAAAAAAAATTAAAAAAAATAAAGATAATTTGAAAGATAAATAAATTATCATAAGCAATTTAATAGTTATATTAAATCTAATTTTGAATCTTGATGATTTTGAATATAAAATGAACATATTATATATTAGTCATTATATTTAATAATGAATAATGCGCATTAATATTAAAGTAAAAAATATTAAATCTAATTTTTCAACAATATAATTTTGGTAAAAAATAAAATATTTACACAATAATATTTTGAATTAACTTAGTAAAAGTTGATGTACTTAAAGAGAGGGACTTTTAATATAGTGAATAATTTTTTATCAATTAAAATTAATAAATAATTATTATTTAAATGTGAGTAAATTACCAAAAAGCTATTGGATTTTCATAGAGAAACTCACCAAGAACTTGTTCTATTCCATTTTCTTAATACTTAAACTAAACTTTAATTTCGAACTCTCACTCACCAATAATTCCATCTATTTATTTTTCTTTAAATAGTGGTGATTTTAGTTGGTTAGCCTCATTGTAAATTTCACACTCTCTTAGAAAATGATAAATATTTCGTGTGAACATCATCATAGTTGTTAAAAAAAAAAAATTATGGGGTCGGATTATTAAAATCGTAATGACATTTTTTTTTTATATAGATTTTTAGCGTACACCTTTAGTTTTCCTGTGACTAGTATTATAATTATAATTAGAATTTGTAATTATAATATAAGTGATGAAAAGATAGTAAAGATAGTTGCAGAATTTATTATTGTAAAAATAAAATTGGCAGACAATACGAGAATAAGAACATTGGAGTTACCGTCAAGAATAGAGAAAGAACATTGGAGTTTCCTCAAATCCAATCCGTAATCGCTCGCTGCCGAAGATCATTGTTGGCCTCTCTCTCCGATGCATTCATTTCTTCCTTCTTCTCCGCCACTTCATTTATATACTGCTAAACCATAATTTCAACACATTTATTCACACTTATTTCCTTGGCGGTGTTCCGCACATATACTTGCTGCTGCTTCTTTTTTTTTTTTTTCTTCTTCTTCTTCTTGTAAATGGCGAATGCATCTGGGTTCTTCACTCCTTCGGTTCCCCACTACAGAGTCAGGGTTCGGCCTCTCGCTACTGCCGTTGGATTCTCCGCCAAAGTAGTTTGCTTTGGAAATATCGAAGGAGCTGACAAACATGCTTCGTCTAAATCTTCTATACCCAGGTCGCTTTTTCCCCTCTGCTTGATCTGTTTCAGTTAAAGTTTCGATTTTGAATCACACCCAACTTGGTTTTATTTGCCATATGTTAAGGCTAGTACCATTGCTACTTTGAAATGTTCCTTCTAGTTCTAGGTTTGTTATGCTATTTGGGATCACAATAATCTGTTTGTTTTTTAATCCTATCATTCGTATAATTGAAGTATGCAGGATTGTCAGCAAAGGTTGCAAGTTAGTTGGATGTGGCTCTGCTGTGCCAGCTCTTGAAATTTCTAATGATGACCTTTCGCAAATTGTTGATACTTCTGATGAATGGATATCTGTTCGAACGGGAATTCGTAGACGACGAGTTCTTTCAGGTTAGTCATTGACAATGGGGTTAGTGATTAGTCCAGTGTTTCATGCTAGTGCTATGAACAGATAGGTTGTTACAGTGGTTAGAATTTGATTAGATTACACTGCCTTCTTTGCTTGTAATTGAAAATGCAGTATGCCAGGTGTGTGCGTTCTTGTACTTTATACAACCTTGTTCAATACTTTAGTCTAGTTGTTTGTTTTTTTTATCTAATGAATTGAAATGGGAAGCATAGGGATTTCAATAATATAAGCGTATGTCATGCAAAATCATGGAAAAGAGATTTATGTCAACGATGTTATGACTCATACTTTACTGAGGAATATAACAAGTACATGTTGGGGGGACGGGGGATTTGATGATGTTGCTCCCATAGTGTCTTGCTTAAGTCTTTGATTGTGATGTATGTGGTCAATTATTACACGACAAATCCAAATTATAAACATGTAGTACTACTAATGTCAGCTGATTTCATATTATTGAGGTGTTAGAATTGTTTGTTAACCAATATACAGCTTAGCTGTGGATTGTCTATATCAGACAGACCAGTGTTTGCAATGAATCTTTGTCTAAATTCAAATTGATGCAGTGCAACTGGTTTGTTGTCTTGTCAGAACTATTCATAAACTGCCAATTTCACAGCGCCATTTTTTTCAGAAAGATAACAGAAAGTATGCTTGGCCTCAAGCCTCAACTATGTTATTTCATCAAGAGGAACTGGTTACGTCTTTGGTGGATCACAGACATTAGTCTCTTAAAAACAAATGCAGCTAAAAGATACCCTTTTCCCCTTATCTATCACAATGAAGAGTTACGCTAACCAGTAACCATCTTATGCACAGTTCAGCTGCAACCATGAGACATCAGGGGAGACAGTCTAATACTCTAACATAGCCACTCTGAGGAAATTAGTGGAAATTGAGTAATCAAATCATTTTAATGCAACTTCTGTTGTAGAAAAGCACAAATAACTTATCTGATATGCATTCAACATTAATCTAACAATACAAGAGTTTTTAGGCACTAAATGCAGCTTATTTGAGTGATCCATCCTGTAGTGCATTTGTCCTAACTGACCTAACATGGTGAGCAGAGGACTTATGAAGAAACCTTCAATATTACAAAATCTATCTGCTGTGCCCTTCTCTTTACTCCTCGATTTGCTGTATATTGGAAGGTGGAAAAGGGAGAACTAAAATGGAAATGGTGGAAGGGCCATGTCCTCCTTCAAAATCTTAACAATATCCTCAATATCTGGCTGCAGCTCTGGAATTTTCTGTTAACGAGTTAGTTCCAAGTTGAGAAACAGGCTTGCTTGGTCCTTCCTGTAATCTTCTTCCAAGCCTTTCTTCCACTTAGTATGTCTTATCCTAGACACCTGTGATTGGGGTGCAATAGCATCGTGGTCTTTTATCACTGGGACTTGAATTTCCAATGCTATTTTCTCATGAACATTGCTCTTTCCATCATCTCTATCAGGGTTTGATGGACAAATATGACTCCCTATCCGCTCTATAACATAGTCTTTACTACATAATTCTTTACTTCCATCTATTTTCCACAACTACTTCAAATAGGGACTCCTGCAACCTTCTGTTGTGCATATACTCATACAACAATTTACACTTCCACGCTGTAACCAAAAAGGGTCATAAAAAATGGTGACCTTAATTCTCCAAGAATCTGCATCTTATTTTGAGGTTCTTGTTAAGGTTCCAACATAAAACCAATTGACAATATTTGGAGTAACCTAACATGTATTTAAACCATACCAAATGACATGAGGTAGGCGATGTGGGACTTTTAACACGCCCCCTCTAACGAAGCCTGCCGGACCAGGCAAAGGATACTTTTGACCCAACGACCCATGACAATAAACGGAAAGATGTTAGGTTTTGGCTCTATACCATGTTAAGGTTCCAACATAAAACCAATTGGCAATATGTGGAGTAGCCTAACATGTATTTAAACCATACCAAATGAAATGAGGTAGGCGATGTGGGACTTTCAACAACTCTCTTTGACTACAAGCACAGCATGTTTGATGGCAATCGACGTGCATCTTTAAATATTGCCCTGAAAACAGTTCCGGAAGCCACCTTTTGTATGAGAATCTTTAGAGCTTGAAGGGAGTATTTCCATCAAATGGAACAAGAGAATGCCACAGTTGGTAGAGGAAGTAGAGGATTGAGCTGAACCACAACTCAAGTTGAAACGTGAGTGGTAGGAAGAGGGCCTTGGTTTTGGTGCATCTTGAAGGGATGGTGTGTGGATGAATGAATTTTCATCACAACAACTGGTGATGTAGAAAAGGGAGATAGGCATTCCGGTTTTTCAATTCTTTCTCTGTTTTATCAATGGGTATCCGAAGTGGATTGCTTTACAATTTGATAATGAGGAGCAGTTCTCAATTCTTTTTTGTTTCTCTTGTTTTTATTGATTTATGGTATCAGTTCTATGCCCATGCCCTGATCTATTTAAAAGAGATGAGCCTAGAAATTAGGAAATGCAGATTAGAAACGGGAGGCACCCAGGGTGCTTTTGACTAATGAGAAAGTTTTGCAGAAAAGTCATTGGTTGGGATAACTTAGACTAGGGAGAGGAAAGCGAAAGGATGCTAAATACAGCTGAAAGTGTGAGTATATTGGTACTTGGGGGAACTTTATATTATTGTTATCATTATGCATTACTGATATTGGTTGAATTGTTGAATAATGAAGATGGGATGACATTGGGAGGTGTTATTTTATGCGCTGTTATTTTGTCTTATACACCATCATCAGTATGCCATGTGCACTTTAGGTTAGTCATTGGCAAATGGCAATGGCATTAGTCCCATCTTTCATTCTAGTGTAGTTGCTATAAACAGATGATAGGTACAGTAAAGTGGTTAGAATTTGGTTTGATTGCACTGCCTGCTCTTTGATTTGATTGCACTGCAAGCTTTCAGCTTAGCCACTTTATGAAAAATTGGCTAGGAAAAGTTGATGAAGAGGGTGAAGCTTCCTATGTTGCTTTGCCTTCTGTATAAACCCAATTCTTGTATTAATGAAATAATCCCGTTGAAACTTGTTTAGTTTTGGAAGTTTCATAGAATAGTGATGAGCTTGCCTTCTATTGCTTGATGTTGTGCTTGCAGGCAAAGATAACTTGACAACTTTAGCAGTAGAGGCATCTAGGAAAGCTCTTGACATGGCAAAGGTAGACCCAGATAATCTTGACTTAATATTGATGTGCACATCGACTCCGGAGGATCTTTTTGGTAGTGCTCCACAGGTAGGGGTTCAAGATGTATTGTGTTGAGAATAATTGTTTACATTCTGCTGTCGTCTTTAACCTTTTCTTAGTAATCTTCATATATGTGTGTGTGTATATATATTGCCACATGTTAAGGGATTAGTGGCATATTTGAGTAATTCTGATATTGCAAAATTTTTCTTGCTAATCATTGTAGCTTATAATTGTACTCTTATTTCTCGAAGATTGGTTATCTTTTAATTTAGGAACCACTCCCATAATTTTATTGTCATCACAACTTGCAGATTTCAAAACAACTTGGCTGCAAAACAAATCCATTGTCTTATGACATTACAGCTGCATGTAGTGGATTTGTGTTGGGTTTAATATCAGCTGCTTGTCACATAAGGGGTATGAATTCGTTATTTTTGTTGGCTTATTAATTCCTAAATATGGTGAAAATAATCATTTCGATTTATTGTGTGAATGCAGGAGGTGGGTTTAATAATGTTCTAGTTATTGGAGCAGACGCCCTTTCACGATATGTTGATTGGACCGACAGAGGGACCTGTATTCTTTTTGGGGATGCTGCTGGTGCAGTACTGGTACAGGTAATTGTATATCTTCCTGGCATTTACGAACATTGAGGCAAATGTCAGTTAGAAATTTGGATCTTGTTTCTTGATTATCACAGTTAGCTTTGTTGGTTATGTTTGTCTTATCTTTATTTAATACGAAGGCTAGTTTTGAGAATTTTCTTAAAATTAAAAAGGATGAAGCAAACTGTTGTCCTCATCATTGAAATAACAGTTCAAAATTGCAAATATAATATCGCATGATTTTCTGAAAAGAAGTTTGCTGTCCTAAGCCCTCACTAGATTTTATTGTTGCCTAAGAATGATCACGAACTGTTGCTTTTCTAATCAACAAGGCATTTATAGTTTAGGGATATAAAGTGTCGATGCCTTTGCTCTGAACCATATTTACATTGCAGGGCTGCAACAGTGAAGAAGATGGTTTATTTGGTTTTGATTTGCATAGTGATGGCAGTGGGCAAAGGTTTGTGCTTGTCATATTACTCAACAGATATTTTCTCTTCTTGTAAGCTATGTAATTAAGCACAGACACTTCCGTGTTGTAGGCACTTGAATGCTGGCATTAGAGAAAACGAGTCAGATAATGCATTGGATTCAAACGGTTCTGTGTTTGGCTTTCCTCCCAAGCCATCCTCATATTCATGCATTCAAATGAATGGCAAAGAAGTCTTTCGCTTTGCTGTACGATGTGTACCGCAATCAATTGAATCTGCCCTTGAAAAGGCTGGTCTCCCTGCTTCTAGCATCGATTGGCTACTTCTCCATCAGGTATGCTGAAATGATCTATAAAATAAAACTCAAGGGTGTTAGTTATCTATGTACTTGTTGGAAATTTATGCTGGGCGTATTACTGATAAATGGACCAATTCCTTTATCTGTAGCCCATTCTTAATCTTCACAGCATTATTGTTGCTTATAGCAAATGTGATGATAACATAGGGGATAGGTAACATGAATTGGTTGAATCGCAAGTGCAACATGCTATGATTTCTTCAAATAGGTGGACAAAGTGGATTTGCTATTCAATTTTGTTTTTGGCACCCTAGGTGGACAAAAGGTGGTTGTTGCTTTGGTTTTATCCTTTGCTTGCTAAACTTGCTGCAAGTTCATTTGTATGTTTGTTTCTACTAAAGAGAATGTGAAATATAAACTAGAAGAAAAATGTGGAAAACCTATCATTTGTATCCAACAATTTATTAGCTGCACATGTGTCCTATATTTTCATTTTTCTGAGTGGTAAGATTAATTTTATGATTGAAAACAGAATATCAGTCTAGTTAACTTGGAAATTGCATGACATACATGATAAAAGGTGATGTTACATGCACTTAAGGTGGCTTATTTCATAATAAGCGCAGGCAAACCAGAGGATTATTGATGCAGTTGCCACTCGGTTAGAACTCCCCTCAGAACGGGTGATATCAAATTTGGCTAACTATGGTAACACAAGTGCAGCTTCCATTCCATTGGCGTTAGATGAAGCTGTTAGAAGCGGTAAGGTTAAGGCAGGCCAGACTATTGCAACCGCTGGCTTTGGCGCGGGTCTTACTTGGGGTTCAGCAATTGTTCGTTGGGGCTGAATGCTTTTCTTTCACATCTGACTTGCAAATAGAGAAGAAAAGTTCAGTTGCAAGTGCAGCCATCCAAATGCCCCACATTCTTACACATTTGTAGAAAATGGGGTTTGGGGAATTTACAAAAGAATAGATATCATTAACATCCAGCACTCCCTGAACTTGTCCGTCTTTTTTTGTCTTCAATTTATTTCGTCTTTACTTTCCATTCTCCTTGGTTTAATTTTTTTTTTCTTAAGCACCAAATTTTCTTGTCAGAGGCATGTATTTGTCATTCAGATTTATTTTAGACGAGGCTCACTATTTATGTTTCTCAATGGTACTTGTAATTAAAAATGCAGCATGCCAAGTGTCTGCTTGCTTGTACTTTAAACATCCTTGTCAACATCTAGCCACCACTTTATTTTAGTTATTATCTTTTCATCCAATAAATTGGGAAGCATAGGAATTTCAAACCATTAAGGAGGTCTTACAATTCTTTGTTAACCAAAAATCAGCTTAGTTGCTGGATCTCCTACATAATACCGACCAATGCAGCACTGAATATTTGCTGTGGTTGTCAAATTTAAGAGTAAATATATTTTCTCCTCCACTCAAAATTATTCTTGGGGCACCTATTTATTTCTGAATGTATTTTTCACGGATTCAACTTTCTACATCCTATAAATTCCCCACATCATCTTTCATTTTCTTTTTAGAATATATGATCTTTTTGGAACGGTATAAATATATAATGAAAAACATATTTCATAATGAATGAGGTGACAAGAAAAACCATTTTCTTTTCCAAAAAAAAGAAAAGGAAGAAAAAGATAAACAGAAATTACGCCCTCAAGTCCCAATGATCCTGGTTAAAGCTTTGGTGGATCTGGACATTAGAAGCTTCAATTGGGTGAACTATGCCCCTACATAAACCAAATAGGATACCTATGTTGACAAGAGAAATTTCACTACCAAAGTAAATTCTATTTGAATGTGGAAAACAAATGAACAAGGTCAGTTCATCTTAGAAAGACTGGACTAAGTTTCTGTCAAGAAGTCATGACAAGCCTACCGAACAACTGACACAATTTGACTAGATAATTTTTCTAAAAGTACTTATAGGAAAAAAATATTTTTTGTAATAAGCTAAAATAAAATTATACATAATTTATAAATCAACTTATGAAAAAAATTCTATAAATTAACTTATGTATAAATTAATTTTAGTTTATAAAATTTTTATTTTTATTTTTTTATCTTATTTTTTCTTTAAAATAGTTTTGGAGAAGTTTATTAAAATAGACCTATAATAATTTCTTAAAAACAACTGCTAGTGACGAAAACACTTTTGTCCTTGTGGTTTACAGAGTACTCTAACACAGCCACACTGAGAAAAATCAGTGTAATGCAACTTCAAGCGTAGAAAAGCACAAATAACTTATCTGATATACATTCAACATAAATCTAACAAGAGAGTGTTGTCAGGTTCTAAGTGCAAACATATTTGAGTGATCAATCCCGCATTGCACTCATCCAACATGGTCAGCAGAGGTCTTATGAAGCAACCTTCATCATTACAAATCTTTTCTGTGGTGCCCTTCTGTTTTCTTCTCGATTTGCTGCATAATTTGGAAGGTGGTGAAGGGGAGAACTCAAATGGAAGTGGTGGAAGGTCCATCTCCCCCTCAAAATCTTAACAATACCTCAATTTTTGCCTGCAACTCTAGAATTTTATGTAAGCAAGTGAGTGCCAAGTTCATACATAGGCTTGCTTGGTCCTTGTTATAATTTTCTTGCAAGTTTCTCATCCACTAGTTCTAAAATGCCACCAGCTTGAGCCAAGTGTCTACACCAACTTTTTATGTTAGCTTTCTCTAGCTTCATGGTGATGCAAGAACACGTAATTATCTTCTACTAGACACAATAATGTGGTCCACAACACAGACATTTACAAGAATAATTTGGAAGGAGAATATGACCATGCAGGTCCAATTTGGTGCTATATGCACTTATTTAAAACAAAAGAAGTAAACAAAATGGAATTAACAATTTAACGAAGGTATATATAGTGACTGAATTAGTTGTTAGTTGCAGATAAGCATACATGAAAGAAGGTCCCACTCATTCACAACCATTAACAGCCACAACATCTCTTTAATGATTTTATATTCTTCTATCTGGTCGGACAAAATAAAAGAAAAAAAAATAGTAGAAAGGTCAACTTCAAGAAAAAAATTTATTTTTTTTGTCCCATTAATTTTTATTTTTTTAATTTGTCCTATCTTACGTCCACCTTCGTTTCAATAATTTTGCTTGAAGAAAGAAAACGAGAGCTTAGAAGATAAGATATAATTAATAGTGGCATGATACTTGTCCAGCATTCGTTAAACTTTGAAGTGTGAAATTAGGTGCATGAAAATGGCTTGACGGTGCATCACCATGATTTTCTCCTTTTGAAAGTTTCTTCCATGTTATACCACCAATCTCCTACAATATATGGACACATTTATTCAGAATTATTATTAATGGTTCATTTTTAATTTAAGATTTATAAACTTGAGCTCAATATTTTCCATAAAAAAATAAACAATCTTATAGATGTTTTTATTAAGAATACGGATGGTTTATTGGACATTATTCATTTATTTGTCTTTTTATTATAAAAATTCATATAATTGTAAACATAATGAAGTGAATGAAAATTATCATCTAGTATAGCCGTTAATGTAGGCCATTTTGACTGAATTACATAAATTTTGTGTTTCTTATTATTTATTTCCATCTTGTATTTTTGTGTTCCCAACAACTAATATCAAGATTTTAAGTTTTTTTTTTTCATGCGAGTGAGAGCAATAAAAGGAGACGAGAAATTAAAGAATAATAAGTTTAATGAAAGCGATTTCAAATTTTGGAAGATACAGATTGAAGATTGTCTTTATTAAAAAAAGTTGAATCAATCTTTGTTTGAGAATAAACCAGAAACGATGTTTCAAGCAGATTGAGAATTGTTAGATCGGAAGGTTTTGGGCGTCGTTAGATTAACATTGGAAAAGAATGTTGCCAACAACATCATCAACGAGAAGACAACATATGGTTTGATAAATATTTTATCAAACATGTACGAAAAGCCATCCGCATCAAACAATATATTTTTGATTCATTAATTAGTTAATACGAAGATGCGAGAAGGAGCTAGTGTTACATATAATGTGAATGAATTTGATTTCTTATTGTCAAGATTAATATCAGTAAATATTAAATTTGATGATTAAGTACAAATCCTGTTATTGTTATCTTTGTTGCCTTATAGTTGGTCAGGAACTGTCACGCCAGTAGCCAGTATATCTGAGACTATGAAATTAACCTTTGAAAAAATTTAAGGATTTAATCCTTAATTAGGATGTTCGTATAAAGAACGTTGGAGAATCAATAAATTTCTTATTAGGCACCGAAGATAGAGGTAGAAAGCTAAAAAGATGACATTGAAAAACAAATGGGTGTTCAGGATAAAAAAAAGAACATGATGACAACAAGAGATACAAGACAATGTTACTGGTGAAAGATTTTCAGCAGAAAAGAGGTATTGACTATAATGAGATTTTTCTCCTATAATTAAAATGACTACCATTAGACTTGTGTTGAGTATTTTACTGCAACATATTTACATCTAGAGTAATTAGATGTTAAGACAACGTTCTTACATGGTGACCTTGATGAGGACATCTATATGATATAACTAGAGGGTTTCCAAGTTGTAGAGAAAGAGAACTTGATTTGCAAGTTGACCAAGAGTTTGTATGAGTTGAAACAATCACCTAGAGAGTGGTACTTGAAGTTTGATAACTTTATGAGTAGGATAGGGTACAAGAAGTGTGTCATGAATTAGTGTTGTTATATGAAAATTTTTTATCCATCCTATATCATATTACTATTATATGTTGATGTCATGTTAGTTGTAGGTTTTAACATGAATGAAATTAATAGATTGAAGACACAATTGTCTGAAGCGTTTGAGATGAAGGATTTGGGTATTGCAAAATAGATTTGGGTAATGCAAAACAGATTTTTGGCATGAATATCAACATGAACAAATTTGAAGGTTCCCTAATATTATCTCAAGAAGAGAAATATACTGGGAAAGTGTTAGAGAAATTCAATATGTAGGATGCCAAAATCGTAAGTACACCTTTGGGAGTTTACTTTAATCTCACTCAAGAGGAGTCACCTAAAACAGATAAAGATAAGATAACAATGACTAATGTTCCTTATGCATCTGCAACCGATAACTTAATGTATGCAATAGTATGCACTAGACTAGACATTGCTCATGCAGTGAGAGTTGTTAGTAGATTCATGTCTAATCCAGGAAGGAAGCATTCAAAAAATATCAAGTGAGTGTTACGCTACTTGAAAGGTACTTCTAAAATTGCATTATTCTTTAGAAGAAATAATGTCATTTTGAAAGGATATTCCAATGTATATTTAGGATGTTGTTTAGATACAGGAAAGAGCACTATAAGATTTGTCTTCACAATAGGTGACACAATAATTAGCTGGATGTCTCAACTTCAAAAAAACATTGCACTTTCAACCACAAAAGTATAGTACATGGTTATTTTGGAAGTTAATAAGAAAATAATTTTGTTTAATAATTTTCTTGAGGAGCTGGGCAAGAAGCAGTGTGACAGTGTTCTTTATAGCAATAGTCAGAGTGTCATTTATCTTACACAAAATTCTATTTTTCATGCAAGAACAAAATACATTTAGTTAAGGTACCACTTCATTAGAGAATTAATAAGTGATGATACTTTATGTTTGGAGAAGATCCTTGGGTTAGAGAATCCTATATATATGTTGATAGGTGGTTACTATTGAGAAGTTGAAGTTTTGCATAATTTCAACTAGCCTTCATGGTTAATTGTTGAGAATGCATTACACTAGCTTGGGGTAAAGCTTTCTCAGTAACAAATAGAAACGTTAGAAGAATTTCAATTAACTTGATTCAACGAATATTTTTGAAATACAAGACTACTAATATAAATTTGCTATCTAATATAGTAATTATATATATATATAATAGATTCTAATATAATTCTTTAAAATTATTTTATTTAATGTTTAGTAAACAAATATTGTATTTTAATTGATTCTTTATAAACTTTGTAGCTGAAGAATCTCGACAATTGACTAAAATTTGGTTATTATGCTTTCGAGTAAGCCGCTATGGTGAAATTGGTAGACACGCTGCTCTTAGGAAGCAGTGCTAGAGCATCTCGGTTCGAGTCCGAGTAGCGGCATTCCATCTTATCTTCTAAAAAAAGGGTCTTATAATGAACTTCATTCTTATTTCTATTCCTAGTATTTAGATTTTTTCATTATACATGGTATTTTCCACTTTAGAGTGAAGTTTACTAGATTTATTTTAGAATGTGTTTGATGTGACCAATCTTCAAGTACGAGATTGTTAAGTATGTGGAGTTTGAAGGGTTATGGGTATGACCCATTTACTTATTCTTTTATTATAAATATTCATATAATTGTAAACCTAATGAAGTGAATGAGAACTATCATCTAGTGCAGTCGTCAACGTAGGTCATTTTGACTAAACCACGTAAATTTCCTGTGTTCTTGTTATTTACTTTTGTCTTGTATTACATTTGTGTTCCCAACAACGTTTTAGGTTGAGAGTGGTGTCAATCCCTTATGTGAGTTGATGTCATGTCTCATTGGTGTTGTTTCTTCACTGTGAATTCACCTCGAAAGTTCCAATAAATGGTATTAGAGTTGATAGATCCTAATAAGTGATATCATAACCGAAGGTTGATCGATAGTTAAATAGTGGTCTTTATATCAAAAGTCTTCCTGACATTGAGTCAGATAAATATGTCCTATTATGATGAACAACGATTCATGGAAGAACTACTAATAAGTTTGAGAGAAATGCACCAATGTAAAAGAATTCACACTTGAATGAGATATTGTTAAGAAATTCAAGTGTGATTCTAAGTCTCATATTGAATAAAATATAAAAAAGTTAAAAAACATATATGAAAGCATGACTGATAAACCAGTATATTAAGATTTTTGAGTTAAAAATTGTATTAATTTTTTTATATAAGTTAAACTCATGTCGCATTGATCATGTTTTTCCCAGTAAATATTCTTTCCAACTATCAAACATTTGATATCAACAAATAGATCAAATAGTTTTTACATGCATATTATAACTTGAATAATAATACAATAACATGCGTCTCTACTCAATATGATATATAGATTAAATTCTTTTCAATTTGAAATTTTAGATTAAAAGTAACCATTTACCAAGTTTAAATTTATACAATTTTTCTTCTGATACAAGAGACGTAAAGGAAGATTATATAGTAAAATAAAAAACATGATGGAAAAAAATAAGTTGTCAGACCTAAAAAAGAATAAAAATAATAGGTCAAATAATTTTTTAGTTCACTAAATTAAAAAAATTAATCCCTCAAATTTAGAAACTGAAATCATTCATATTTCTTTAAAGATTAAAAATATTATTAAACCATAATAATATTATCCTTTATGTAGTTTGTCTTGTTAATGTGTGCGAGAAAGTTTCATTTAGGAAGATGACAAGATATATATAAGCATTTACTGAATAAGTGTTTATAAAACTTTTATATATATATATATATATATATATATATATATATATATATATAAGTTATTTATGTAAAAAGGATAAAAAACAAAGATTGAAATGTTATTATAAAAATTACAAATTGTTTTCATATGCCATCTTGAAGAATTTATTTGAAAAAAAAAAACAGTTGTAAGCATATTATATTTTGATAAATTTTCTGAAACACTTACACAGATATCTAGCTACATGATAAAACAAATGAAAATAAAAGTGGTGTTGGAAACACATTGTGCATCGTAGCATCTTATGCTTTTATATATGGGAAAGTGAATGACAAATAGAATTGAATGTAGTTGAGGATTTGTTCTATTCAGGCACTTCTCCTAGGGACCCTTTGGGGCCACTTTCACTCGCCATTGCCAATCTCTTGCATATTATCAGGTAATAAGGATGTGATTTCTGTTTTGTATTAATTAATTTGTCTTTAGGTAGATGGACTTGGCCTCAATTTATAATAATTTATTATTTCTATAAAATATTTCTCTCTACAAACCTATTTGTGAAGTTCACGATGAACTGTTCTCCATTACAAGCTTTTATACCCTTTGACTTGTCCAATCAATCAACTGTCAGAGTATATCACTCCCATTTAAAACTGCTGTTACGCCAATAGAAGTTATTTAAAAATTTCTTGATCTAAAAGCATTTTACTCCAATAGTGTAAAAATTTCTTTCTTTAATATTTTGTTTGGAAGTGAACAAAATAAAAATAAAAGTGGGAATATTGGATGTACGTTATTTTATTTTTATTTTTTATTTAAGAGTATTTTTTAAACTAATTATTTTATTCATATATCATGCATTTAATATATTTTTATTAAAAGTATAACATAATTTAATTTTTCTTAATTTATTGTATTTTATATAATTTTACCATAATAAAAAATATATATGCATATATCCACATTGTATATTTCTTTTGTAAGAGAGATAATTTGAGATGAACCAAATTGATGAAAAGAAATGTTTAAATTGATGTCGTCAAATTTTACTCTTCTTGAAAGCCCAAATTTGTTTATGCAGTCCACTTGTAGAATGTTACAAATGGAAATTTTGAATCAAATAAATTAACTGGTTTGAGAATCCAATTTAGTTGAATTAAACGCCAGAAATCAAGAATTAAATGCAAATCAGTGAAAGATCACTCAAAATAGGAAAAAAAAACATTATTTTCTCCAAATCAGTCCCAAAAATTTCTCTTGACAACGAATCAAATTTTGCAATTAATTTTTTAAAAAATATTTGATTTTATTATAATTAATTTTAGACTTAATTTCTCTTGTTCAAACCCCTATAAATAGAGGTCTAACAACAATATACAATCATAATTTCTTAGTCTGAGGTGAGAACCGTTGTTTTGTCTCATCCCCATTTTCTTTTTATATTCTCAGTTCTTAGTATAGTTTATAATTAGGTAAATTTATCTATTGCTACTGCACCTTTGTTTTATTCTCTTTTATTTAAATTGAAATTTCTGTTAAATTTTCTAATTTATATTATTTTATTTATTTTATTTATTCAGTACTTATTTTAATTTCTACTGTTTAATTGTTTAGAATTCTTATTCTAGTATTGCTAAATTTTTATTTTCAATTCATCTCTTTTCTAATTTCAATTCTCAATTTAGTTGTAGTGTTATTGTTTATAGAAATTTCAAATTTAATTACTGTATTTTTTTATTTTAAAACATTTTTTTATTTTTGCATTTTTAATTAAAAACATTTTATTTTAATTTATAAATTTAAGTTATTTAAATTCTACATCAATTTAATTTTAATTATTACACTATTTTGTTTCAAAGAATTTTTATTTTTACATTTTATTTTAATTTTTTAAATTTCAATTATTTAAATTTTGTTTTCATTTAATTTTAATTATCATTAATATTTTATAACATTTTAATTTTAAATTTTAATTATTTTATACTAATTTATTTCTTTTTTTACTCTTTCATTCGTATCCTCTTATCTAATAAGATAAAAAATCATATGTAATAATAATTATATTCTTATAATTATATCTTATGATATTCTATATAAGTTAGGTATACTGTAATTAATTAATAACAAAAATGATGTTATCATTATCCACGGAGAGAGTATATTTTGTTGCCAATTACTTTGCAAAAGTAATGGATTGGAACGTTCACTGAGAAAAGTGTTTGAGGAAATGAAAAGAGATTTGAGTGATTAATTGTATGTTGTGTCTTGTTTTGAAAAGGAGACAGATTTTCAGACGGATTCTTAAGATATCCCCATCCATTAATTTTATGAATTTCAGCTGGCTAATAATGACATTCACACTCATCAACTAATCGTGTCACGTTCAAACACCATGAACAATGCCCTTACCTTATACAATACTCTCTGGTACAGGCACAGTTTCTGTCATTAATGATGAACATGGACCACGGGTAGGTGATCTTCGCCCCAATTCATTTAGTTCAGTCCCATTCATAGTCATAACCTATTAAACATGTTTGTCTTTTATCCTTTTCTTCCTTATTTTGAATAAACTGTTACTGGCCATAGGGTTCTTCACGCTGCAATAAATTGCGTAAATTCCTGGAACCTGCATGTGAGGTAGCTCGTAGTACTAGAAAATTAGTGGTAAATTAGTACAATAATGCATACAATACAAGAGGAAAAGGTGTCCCTTAATGTGGCACGTGTGGCCCATGTTAGGTCTATCTATTTACTACTTATTGAAACAATGTCTCACTTGTAAAGGACTATGTATTTTCTAGTGCCAGTTCCAAGTTTGACTCGAGAGGTAGAAGATCTGCAGCCGTAAATTTAGCATGTTTTGTGGGTGTATCGTGCCTGATCAAGCAATTCATGTAGGAAAGTAGAAGTCTACATATAATCGCTATCCATATATGGATATATAAAATTTTAAGGAGGTTCTCATAGAGGACAAAATTGAAGTTAGAGTTTGAATTTGTTAATTAATTTACTTGCTCTAGGCACATGCCTACCACAGAATTTGATGGAATGTTAGTGAATTTTTTATATTGTTAACCAAAGTGTAAGAATTAATCTTCGTAAATAATGCATTTTTATGGTCAATTTTTTAAAATACAATTTAGCAATATTGAATTCAAATTAAGACTTGCTTCAATTCTGTTAAGCTACTTCTTCAGATTCAAATATCGATAGAAATATCTGATTTACATTACTTAAGTTTGATTATCAAAGAGGACTGCTACAGCCATTCAGTAAATGAAGCTCAAATTTAAATTTAGCATTATTTTTAATAATAATATTAAATAGTTAAAATTTGTTTATATTTTTAAGTTATCTTTGTCTTTTATGCTCATATTTAGTACGAAGTAGTCATGAATTGTAGACTCAACTTTTTTGGGTAGAATTGTAGACTCAAAACTTGCTGATAACAGGAGAATAAGCTAAGGAAAATGATCAAAATCATTGGGTGCAGAGACTAGGAACCTTGTCATTTAAAATAAACAATATAATATAATATCAATTGCTGTCAATAATGGAGTTGCATGTGTGCATTTTAAAAGAGATCCAAGTGCTGACTTCACCCACACGACACCATTATTTAAATCAAAACCAAGGTCCAAAACCTCTACATCCTTGTTTTTTGTCCTCAGCAAAACCATTTAGATTCAGAGTGAACAAACCCACCACATAATTATCACCAAAGATGTTCAGTGCCAAAGCTGAGGTTCCCCAAAAGGCAGTGCTCCAAATCAAGCAAGATGACAAGTTCTTCAGCAGGCTTCTCTCAAAGGAAAATTCCTTATCCAAACCCTCTTTCAGAATGGCTGTTGCAGTCCCCTTTGTGTGGGAGTCTCAACCTGGCACCCCCAAATACACTTTCTCGGAGGGCACTCTCCCTCCTCTCACTCCTCCACCTTCCTACTATGTTAACTCCACCAACAAAAACAAGCCAGTGAAGAAATCCTCAAGATCCAATCTCTTCCTAGCACTCTTCCCAAAGATAAATCTCAAGAAAACCATTCTCTCACCCTCCTCCTCTTCTTCTCTATCTTCTCCATCACCCTCTCGGTTGTCAACCTCAGATTCTTCCAAAGTTGTCCCAGTTGGGAAGCATTCCAGGAGGCGTTTCCTAAGCTTTGGTTCATCTTTTGACTTTAGGGGAGATGATGAAGATGAGGGTTCCACTTCACCGACTTCAACACTTTGCTTTGGCCTTTCTCGTTCCACAAGCACTTTGGCTAGTTTCAGAGGCTCAAGCAGGAGGTCATGAATTTTATTGTAATTAAGCCTTTAATTTTCACAGTAGCTTGAAGACTAGTGTGGCCAAGGTGCTGTGTCGCTGCTAAGAGTTTTTATGTGTAAATGCTTTTTTGTTCTGCTCTTCTTTCTCTGTATGCATGTTTAAAGAGCAACCAATTTTTTAGGGTAGAATTGTTTAACTTGTTTCTTTTAAATAAAAGTTTTGCTTCTAAGGTGTATCTTTTAGACATATTATGCAGTTAAAAACATATATTGGTTCTCTTTGCCTTCAGAACTTGGCAAAACATTAATTCATGGACCTCAATTCTAATTAAGAACAACAGTATCTTGTATGGCTTATTGTTATTAATTTGGTTTTTGTTGTGTTGTGACAATAGGAGTTTGTTTTAAAAAGATATCCATATCTATTTAGAAAATAAAATAAAATTATGAATTAAATTTATCTTATTCATAAGTTAAAATATTTTTTTTAAAGCTATATTTTTTTAATTTTAATTTTAATATATACATAAACACTTTAATTTATAAGAGAAATTTATTTTATTTAATCTTTTTATTTTCTTCTATTTTTCTGAGTAAAACATAACTAAGTAATGATAGAGATGAGAAAGGAGATTAATTACGAACACATATAATGACGAGTCTGAGTTTGGGTCAAAGTCAGAAATCTCATTTGTAGACAAATCGATATCTAACAGAAAATTTGAAGATTTTCCAATACCTGCCTGAGAGCATTTATGCATTTCTATCCTCCAGAAAAAGCTAAAGGGTTAGAACAGAAGAAACATCATCTTTGATAAAGTACTTCATATTCGTTTTTCTTACCCCGAATAAGGCCAATATTAGTATTCTATCAACTGCTTCTCTTTTTGTCTTTCTCAACGTGATTATTCATTGTCAAAAGCAAATTCAGGTAAAAGTAACTATCATGCTATTAATTTGGCCGGAGTAGCTGCGAATTCTGCAACGTTTGAAATGGTGTCCGTTTCAACTGGCTTTGTTTGTCGTGGTGTCGTGTAGGTAAAGGACGTAATTGTGTATTAGCATTACCTTTTGCTTCAAAATTTCTCGTGTCTCACGGATTCACGTACAAAATATCCTTATTCATACAGGAACATATATGTCTTCTGTTTCTGTTTCATTTGATCTTGTTATATACGTAGATATGGCAACAGTAACTACTTTTTGTATCTAGTCAATTACTCTTTTCAGGAAAACTTAATTAGGACCACTTATGCTGTCAAGTTACCGTAAGAAAATGGAAGGTTTTAGCCACCTTTACATCCTAGGTTAAAAAAGGATCGATATAAGACTAGTTTGACAAAAGTAAAAAGAAGTTTAACAAAAACAGGTTAAATATGTGCACTCTTCTAGCAATATGAGACCTTTTAAAAGTAATTTTTATCGTGCATACTTGGATTAGAGTAGAGAAGACATAAAACTACTTTTGTTTTAGAAGCAACCATTTCTTTTAAGTAGTATGTATATATTGGAATTCGTTATTATACATTGGAATTCACAAAAAAAAAATTAAAGTATGAACCAATCAAACGTAGTCCAAGGTTATTTGGCTTCACGTATAACTGTACTTAGATCTGCATTCAACAAGAAGCTACAAGTAGTTTTTTTATGTTGCTTGCTTAGTTTGACTTGAATTCTTACTTGCTTTACTTAATTATGGTGATAACGTGCTACCAAATATTTCATTGTAATCCTTGAGATATATCATAGAAAACTATAGAGAAAGGAGCTGATGTAGTTGTAATTAATATGGCTGTGGAAATTGTTATTTTTTCCACTACGATCATAACCATTTTTCTTTAAATCTTTTTTTTTATCCTATTTAAAATGTATTATGTTTATCCGAAAAATCTAAATAATTTAAATATTTTTATCCATTTCATGGTAAAAGTATATCTAAGGTTATGCAAATGGAAAAATGGATCAAATAGATATGATGCAAAAAATAAAATGGGGAGAAACACTTATTGCCAGAAAGGAAAGATTTATATATCCAACAACCAAGCACTAGTTTTGATCCATTCATTAATCTAATTTGTCGGCAGAGGAACTACTATGGTCACTTGAGTTTGGCCCCGTTGCCTCTTCAGCACATGAAACACTCTTGCTTCTCTCTCTCTCTCTCTCTCTCTCTCTCTATATATATATATATATATATACATAGATGCATGTTCACTGTGTCAGAAGTACAAGTTCATAAATAATCGTGACACAATAAACCAACAATTCTAAACCAAATGGGAAAGTATTCAAGGATTGCAGAAAAATTATGAATAGAGAGACAGAAACAGTAAACTGAAATGCTGCATAAATATTCCTGCTATGCATTAATTTGAGTTGTATTATATATATGTGGTTGTCATTGAATATTTAATGACTTTTCCACAGAAATTGTGAATGATTGAGATGGGTTTTACGTGACTAATAAGGAAGAGAATGTTAAAAAGAATGCGTGATTTTCTCAGATTATAAATTTGTGAAAAAATAACCGTTTTAAAATCAGTCTACAAATAAGAATTCAATCTACTTAATTCAGGATGAGGACGAGAATACTATATTTGATAAATGTCTAGACCATTTTTATTTATTAATTACATATAGTTTACTTGTATAGTATGTTTTCTATCAATATTTCAATTCTATCTTTTTCTAAAAGTAACATATTTTATATCATGTTTGATAAATATTCTAATGTGTTATTAGTTCCAAAGGAATAAACTTACACAAAGTGAATATTATCTCTAATATAATGTACTCATATATTCACTTTGATAGAATTCAAATCATGGACCATTTATTAAAGAACACAACCTACTACACTTTCCTTTATTTAAGATTAAAGAAAAATAAAGATATAGAAGAAAAATATAAAACTAAAATTGAAGAAAATAATACAAGAAGGGAAAATTATTGTTTTTTTTTTAAACAATATTTTTATTGTTTCTATTTTCCATTAAAACCAATGATAAAATACGAGAAGGGGTTATAAATTTTAAACTATTTTTTTGCTATCATTTAACTACAAATAATAATGCACATTAATTTTGTTTATTTTTACAATAATAATTATAAAATTTATATCAAGAATGACTTTTATTAATTCGTGTGCAAACAAATCATAGGACACGTTTTTTAATTGAAGAGTAGGTTGATGACGTATGTAATTATCGGAGAAAGAAGTTTGGTTGGTTGTGAAATAGAAAGGAACTTGTATTGAGTTCATTAGTTCCGATGATGAGAAAAAAATGTTAAATAAGTTGTTAATATGTTTATATTGAAATTGGTATCTGTAAAAAAATTCCTTTCTTTACGTAATATTAAATAAATGTGCTATTTTCTTGACAATAAAAGAAAAGAACCTTCCTAATCTCTAAACCCACTTAAAAGGAAAAATAAAAATTCCGACCTGCCGGATTCGAACCAGCGACCTAAGGATGGCTATTTGGTGCTACCAACTACAGTCCTCCGCTCTACCAACTGAGCTAAGGTCGGATCTGATGTTGAATCCACACAAATATTAATTTGTTCACTTATTAAAATACTTCTACATCTCTGATGTTACTACTTTAAATAGAAAAATTCTAATACTCAAGTTTATGTTGTTCTTATTATGATTTTATACCTTCAATAAAAGTAAATATTGAATAAACTACTGTGTTTCTGTAAACCAAAGAGAAGCAGTTTTTTGTTTACTTTGAACTTTATAGCAACATAATTATATATCAAGCTGAAAGCAAATCCTTTTCTATATTGTATCAAAGTTATAGACACAAAATTATTCGCAATATATAACAAGCCACAGCCTGAGAGTCATAGGATCTTTTAAATGATTATATAAAAAACAATTATACGTGTTTTAATGCGGAAACCTAAAAGGGGAGAAGTTAGTAACTTCACATATATTTTAATAAAATAATAGGCAAATACATGTTGTATCTTTAATAGAAACTATATACAAAAGGGAATTGATATTTCATACCAATAATATAATTTTAAAAAATTATATATTTAATTATATTTCAAATTGTTTTGGAACGAATGCTATATTAATTTTAAGACAGTCTAAAAGCATGATTTTAATTCAAGTTGAGAAAACTATTTTGCAAGTTAATTAGATAATTTTTTATCGTTCTTTATTTTAATCCGGAACTTTTAAGTTTACAGTTTGATCTATCCTTTAAATTTTTCTCATGGATCAAGTTAATAATGTCTCTATTATAATAAATTAATTAGTTTATTATATTATATATCATGTAAGTCAAAACTAATATTGTTAATATTGCACAAAATTGACAACATGACTAATTTGATTTCATAAACACTTTAAAAACACTAACGTGAAACTTTTTGTTAATAACAAATTGCCTCTGGTAATTATCAAATTTTTGTTGAAATCAAAACTGTATCATAGAGCCAACCCAGTCAAAATTAAACAATGCTAAGCATTATTGATCCATATTATAAAATTCAAATTACAATTGAAGAAACATTTCGGTATATTGTCCCTTAACTGCTATTAAAAATAGACACTATACTTAGTACAACAAGGCAAAAAATCTTAATTGGTCTTCCAACAGTCGGTTCTGATCTCGCCAGTAGACCCAGTGAGTGGACCAAGGTTCCCCATTTTCACCATTGCATTGGCAAAATCAGTTTGAAAACTCGAAGGGTTGCTGACATAACCATTTACTTGAGAATCAGTGGATCCTCCATTGAAAAGCTCTTGATCTGAGTGCAAGAGACCCTTTTGGCTCTGCAAATTCTGGAAATAAGTATTGTCAAAGGTGGTTGGGGTGGTGTCAAGAGGGGCCAAATTTCGGTCACCACCTACGCTAGGACAATTTGCTCGCAACGATGTTGCAAAAGAGGAATCTATGTTGGTGTCGTTGTAAATCCTTGCTCTGAAGGTCGAACAACTAGCTTGCCCAATTGTGTGACTTCCTGAAATTTTTATTAGAAAATGGAAGAACATGAAGTGCATGGTAAAACTAATTTTAAATATATGGTATTTCATTTATCCTTGACCTAGTCTAATGACATCTTTCACTATTAAAGGGTGTGACCTAATATTAATGATGGTGTTTGATAATTAGTTTAATTTTTTCTCAGTGTTTACAAACAAACTTGTACATACTTATAAAATAAATTTTATATTTTCGTAGGTTATAAATATATTTGGTCCATAATAGTTTAGTATGATTTAGCTTGTAGATACCTGACAGGGCAACCATTTCTTCTGTGGTGAAATCTTTTCTGGAGAAAGCATCGACAAGTTGTTGTAGAGTGGAAGCAAAACCAGGTAAGTCAGAGTTTGCAGAACTTAAACTTGCTGTGGTTGAGTCTCTTCTGCCCAATTGCACTGTCCAACTTTGTCCACCAAGCTAAGACACAAGTTTCAATATCAGTGCCTAGTTAACTCATATATATATGAATGAAACTTATTAATTAAAAGAAATTGAAAAAAAAAAGAAAAAAGACTCGCTAATTAAGAAGTGGAATGTACATAAACACTTTTCTTTCTTTATTATATTGGGCTATGATATATAGTACTTACAGCAACGACTGAGTCTCTTGCTGCTACAGCGAGAATATCGGCACAAGAAACAACACCAGGGCACAAGCTCTCCAGTTGAGACTTAATGTCGTCTATTACACCAAAACCCCTTAAGGAATTCACGTTGGGTCGAGCCGTTTGTTCACCTGTGAAACTTGATGTATCATTCAATAGCACTGATGCATCACATCCCTGAACAAATCAAATTAAACCCAAACATCACTTTGCTGCCACTTGGAAACAGATACTGATGGAAAATTACATTTAATATAAAATTAGCTCATGTCCATATTAACCGTTACGAATGGAGTTTGTTTTGAATTGATATTAGACTGCTGAAGTATCTAGACACAATTGATTTATAGAAAAAGAGATATTATTTCTATCAAACTTACCAAAAGAAGCTTTTCATGCATTATATGAATATCTGTTTTTACTATAATAATACACGCATGACGAAAATATATTATCGTTATATAAAACTTTTATTGTCTATATTAATAATTTAATGCCAATTACAGTACTTTATACATATGATTCACTCAAATCATAAATATCATTTCATTCATACGATATCTATCCTCACACTTTCACCAGATAATATTGTTGCCTTCATGATTATCTACGAACTTAATTAATGAAAAAATCTGCCTTCGAAGTCTGTTACGAATTTTCAACTAGTGAGCAATGTCAATTACTTTTTCTGAATAAAAGTAAACTAGCACTTTCACGTATAATTCAAGAGTTTTCTGTGTATTATTCGCGATAAACGTGCTTGCGTGTGTGTGCATGAGGAACATGAAAGTTGAAAAACATAAAAAAAAGAACAAGAAGATTGATGCAGGGTAAGTTGACTTGCTTGAACAAAGCAATCATGGAAATGGAGACGTAGGAGGGATGCCCCCATGCGAGCTTCATTGCTCACTGCAGAATCAACTCCACTCTTAATGGTTGAAAGTGCATTAGGACACGTTGTGGAATAAAAGTTAGAGGACAATTGGGATGAAACTATCCCCATAAAACATAAGAGTAAGAAGAAGCGAATTTTGAAGATTGGTTTGTTCATGAAAAAAAAATTAGTATCCATGATGGTAACGGGAATTCTAAGTAATTTTTGGAGAAATTCCAAGTATACAAAAGATACAGATAGAGAGAGGCTTGTGATAAGGTCTTTACATGCGTCACATATTTATATAAGAGGTCAACTTTGTACTTTCTTTATCAGTCAATACATGCATGCGCATGCAGCCAATCAGGAATCGTTCTTTATATATAAGTACTTTTCTATATATTATTAGTAATTTTATTAGTATTCAATAAAAACCTAAATTTCTAATATATTCAAAACATGATAAAATATTTAACATTATCTAATTTTAAAATTTAGAGACCTGTTGAAAGGATGTGTTATGAAAATTTAGAACTTTCTACCCTTATCTATAGTAAAATAAAAATTTGTGAAAGTGATGTAATTAATTTCGATATAATCGCTTTTAAAGAGTGATATATACATCTCCTTGATAAAAACTTTAAATCAGTTATACATCTCCTTCGTGAACTTAAATATATGTTTATTAATTTATGATTTTTCAATTCGGTTTGAGTTGAATATGCATATTCTTTCATTTGATTTTTTTTTTTTAATAATATTCTACTTAGCTTTCATGTTTTTTGTGTTTGATGATTGCATTTTCTTATGATAAAAGGTTCAACTCTTTTTTAAAATAAAATCATAATAGATTTGACTTATAAAATGCTTCCTTTTTTTTGCTAGGCTGGAGCTGGTGTTTTTCCCAGTAGCACGTTGGACTTATAAAAAATGCTTCCATTTTTGTTACCAGTTCTTCGACTAATTTTCCAAACTCGAGCTATTATCTGACCGAAATATTTGAAAACTTGTTTCTTTATTTTTGGTTTCATTCAAACTTTTCAAACCATATGAAGTGATTAACGTGCATGGTTTATCATTTTATTTTATTTCTGATATGGTATTCTGTTATCTCAATTTTGATAAAAATAATATACTTTTACATGCATATGACATATATAATAAATTTAATATATAACTAATATTTTTTTTTATTTTAACAAAGTACATAATTATATTGAGTATAAAAATGGCATACGTGAAATATTTTGGATGAACAATGTAAAAAATAGTTTATTTTATTGGGAGACAAAGAAATAATATGATATAAAATCTAAAACAATTTAAAACAAAATTGAGGTGACCATGACCTTCTATGTCACTCCTTCCCTTCCCTTCTCCTCACTGTGTTTAAGCGGTGTGTCTAAGTTAAGTCATTAGATCCATCTTCTTCTTAATCATTTATAGAAAATAAAATAAAATTTTATAAGTTAAACTTAACTTATATATAAATTTAAAATAAAAATTTAAAGAAATTATATAAGATAATTTCTATAAATTAGACTGTAATAAATTAAATTTAGTTCATAATTGTTTTTCTTGAAGGAGCTAGCTCCTTCAAAGAGGCTCTTACATAAACTTCTTACTATATAATACGCAGTATTTGTGATAGTTTGGAAATGGGTTTATTTTAATCCTCAATATGTATAATCTATTAATTAATTTAAGTAAATTTGTTAAAAAATTATTTTAAAATAACTAGATTTGATTGGGTGCAAAATCTATTAAAGAGATGTATGAAGTTGAAAGAAGAAAAAAACTAATTGAAAATAATCGTAAGTTGCAAGTTTTAAGATTAATAACAACTTATTTTGCAGTTTATTTTTTTATTATTATTCAACCTTCAGGAATGCTTCATCAGGGACGTTCATCTCTGTCTTTAATTTAAAAAATCTTATTTCTTTAGATTTGTCTTCTTCTTGGATGATTTTATCCATAGGATATGAATTAGGTGGTCTCTAGGATGAGTCGACGATGTTGGGATCCACCGACTTGTGCCTGGTAATGATTCATTTCACGAGAGGTGATGCGCCAGTTGTGCATGCTAACTGCTATCAAGTGGGTAAGTTTCAAAGTCTGGTCCAAAGATAAGTTTCATTTCTTGACAAGTTCTTTTTCTAAAATGTTCTTAAGTTTTCTCTTCTCTAAAAGTTTGAAACTTCCAACTCTAAATACTCCTATAATGCTTGAAGAGTATTCCTCCGAAGAATAAAAAATTGAGGTTCATAATTCGAAGAGTCTGAAATTGAAGTTCTTATTTCTAAAGAAATCTGTAACAAAAGTTTCCAACATTATTTTATAAGCAAATATGTACAAGACAAATATTAAACGAATGAAATATATATATATATATATATATATATATATATATATATATATATATATATTTATTTATTTTAGTTATTGTAATATACATTTTCTTCTTAATACAAGACACTTAAAATATTATTACACAAATAAATAAAAATAGATAAATTAATTAGTTTTATGAATTTTTAAAAGATTTATTTCAAATGTAAATATTTCATTCTTTTTTTTTTTTTGTTCGACAACAAAGAATAAAATTAATAGAAGTACAAAGGGGTACTTCAACCCAAATACAACTAAAAGAAGCTAGATGAACGAAATAAAATACACCCTGCTGGGTCACAAGAACGAAAGCTCAAAGATACAGGTTTAGATACCCCAGCGGTGCCTAAAGGAAACTAGCTTCGGGTAAAATGTTGACACTAAGACAGTTTACATCAAGGTTAAGAAAAAAAAAAAGTCTTGAAGCTCTCGGAGACTCCCGCTCACCGTCTTCTTATATGAATCATCATCATTGTGGCATGATTACACACTTTAACCTGAAAAGACATATAGCACAGACAAAAGAGGAGCTAACTGGCAATTAGTCTCATACATCTTACCGGTTCATAGAACCAATCGGAACTTGCTAGGCTCGCTCCATCCCAGTCTCTAGCGCACCAAGCAATGAAATTTGCACTCGCTTTACTAAATCCTACTTATGCATCAAATTTACCATTTTTAAAAATACAATTATTCCTTTGAGACCATATTTCATATACCACTGCTACCCATAGTCTTTTCCACCTAAACCCTAAACCCTAAACCCTAAACCCACCCATCTAAAGCACTTTTCCCAGATCTCCCTGGTCATCTTGCACGTAAAAAAGAGATGATTGGATGTTTCGTCCTCACTCCCACACAATGCGCATTTTGGGTTACCTATATCAACCCTTCTCCTAGCTAAATTTACCTTTGTAGGGATCCTATCCTGAAGAATTCTCCACCCTAAAACCATGGCCTTTGGTATCGCTTTAATTTTCCAGTACCATTTAAAAATCGATTCGTTCTCATTGCAAGTTTCTTCGTTTAGAGACTCATATGCTTCTTTTACAATATACCTTTCATTTTTATTCGGTCCCCACAACCACGTATCATCTGTACCCCTATTAAGTGTTATGCCCTGAATCTTACTTAGCATTTCCTCCTCCATTTCCTTCTCCCATTCGAAACGTTGTCTTCTCCAGCTTACTCTCCATTCCCATCTATTTTCCACCCACACACCATGTTCTGATAGCACCCCATTTTTATTCAGTCCTATTTGTTTTAACCTTGGATACAAGCGACCTAAACTCTGTTCCCCAATCCACACATCGTCCCAAAACCTGATTTTCTCCCCATTTCCTATTTTCCATGTTACATGTTTATCAAACCAAGCTCTACCAACATTATCTTTACATATTCTTTTTATATCTAGCCACCATTTTGAATCCTTATTAATGTTTTTCGGTTCGTCTAAGGCTCTCCAGGACCCGTATTTGGCTTCTATTACTTCCTTCCATAATCCTTTTGACTCGACACCTAACCTCCATTTCCATTTTGCTAGTAGGGACCTGTTCATCTTCTGAATGTTTTTCACCCCCAACCCACCCTCTTCCTTTCTTCTACACATTTTTTGCCATTTAACCCACGCTATCTTTTTCCCTTCCTTGCCCCAGCCCCACACAAACTCCCTTTGAAGTTTTGTTATCTCTTTTATCACTCTAACAGGAATTTTGAACACGGACACATAAAACAGTGGTATCGCCGAAAGAACCGATTTCACCAAACATACCCTCCCAGCAAAGGAGAGCATACGCCCTCTCCACCTAGAGAATCTTTTCTTTACTTTACTTATGACATCGTCCCAAAACTCATGCCTTTTGTGGTTCCCTCCAACTTTCATCCCCAGATATCTAAATGGCAATAACATTGTCTTACATCCTAGTTCTCGTGCAAAGCTTTCCAGTAAGACAGGCTCCACCCCTATTCCTCCTAATTTTGTCTTTCTCATATTAACCTTCAATCCCGATGCTAACTGGAAGCATCTCAAAATCGCCTTAATTACCGTGATGTTATTTGGATTTGTATCGCTGAAGAACAGAGTGTCGTCTGCAAATTGTAGAAGACTGACTTGAAGCTCCTTTCCCCCCACCCTAGCTCCTTGTAGCATCCCTTTTGCTACTGCTTGCCTAACCACCCCAGCTAGCCCTTCAACTACCACTAAGAAAAAGAACGAGGCCAAAGGGTCTCCCTGTCTTAAACCTTTTCGGGGGATAAACTCTTTTGTTGGGCTTCCATTCACCAGAACTGATATGGAGACAGATTTTAAACAACATTTAATCCACCTCACCCATTTTCTGCAGAACCCTAGTTTCTCTAACATATAGAAGAGAAATTCCCAATCGACAGAGTCATAGGCTTTTTCATAGTCTATCTTGAGTACCAAACCTTTTTTCCGTTTGCTCTTATACTCATGAATGACTTCGTTTGCTACCACAACACTATCCAGGAGACCCCTCCCTTCTAGGAAAGCGGACTGAGAGTCACTAATTATCTTATTTAGCACGCCTTTCAGTCGTCCTGCTAACACCTTTGCTAGTATCTTATACAGGCTGCCTATCAGAGATATTGGTCTATATTCATCCAAGTCCACCGGGATTTCTACTTTTGGGATTAGTGCAATGAACGAGGCATTACATCCTTTTGGAATATTACCCTCCCTCTGAAATTCTTCAACAGCTTTTAATATGTCCGCCTTCAGT